GACTAAAGCCAGGCTGGCACAGTATCCCCACCTTCCTTCCGTGTGCAAATGGGCTTTAACCGGTTTTTCATAAGAAAAAGAATCATGATGAATTCGGGTGTTCAATATTCAAGTTACGGCCAGTTATTTCTGGAGAAAGATGGTTCTTTTGTTCCTTCTCTCTTTTTTCTATATATTACTTGGGGGACAAGCCACGTTGCCTGGCCCCACGGGAACACGCTGCCAACAAGTCAGGGAGGTCTAGGCAAGCAGATCGGCCAAGTAACAAGAGAGACGCGTGATGAATTTTAAACCATGTGGGCCATAGATATAACAAGACCCATATGGAACAAGACACAGCAAAGCCCCCAATGCTTGGGTCCATCGGATCCCCAGGGAAGACAACAGAAACCATAAAGCAAATCCCCCCTCCCAAAAAAAAAAACCTGCAATGGTGTGGAAAGTGCCATTTTATGAGTTCATTACCTGACTGGTAACAGTTAATGAAAAATCCCCCATAGCCACCATGGGGCTTCCATTTAAAAAGTGAAGACAAGACAGAGTTACAGCCATCGGGTTGTCCTCAGTTCGGCCACCTAGGGCCCTGTGTCCTTAGGTGGAAGGAGAACATAACGGGCTGGTACCCACAGGCCACACTGAACCATGGGTGACAGAGACTATCAGGGTGCTAATAATCCAGGAGACTGAATCGAGAGCTGGGGAGGAGTACCTGGTGGCATTTCTCTTCCACACTGCCTTCCCAAGTGACCCCTGCAAATGGACAGCTGTCCAGACTGCTCCCCTTGGCAGATATCCTGCAATGGCTACCTGTGGTACCAGTTCCAATCCCATAGACTTCTTCAAGGCTCTTGGGATGGGTCCTTTGTCACAGGAGTTTAGGCAGTGCCCTTCCTTACAAGCTTGCTCCAGCTCTCACACCCCTTCCGAGGTAGCGGTGGCTTAAATAAGAATGGTCCCTATCAGTTCATATATTCGAATGCATAGTCAGCAGGGAGTGGGACTCTTTGAAAGGATTAGAAGGATTAGGCGGTGTGGCCTTGTTAGAGGACTGTGCCAGTGGTGTCAAAAGTCCATGCCAGGCCCAGTCAAGTCTTTCTGCTGCCTGCAGATCCAGATGTAGAACTCTAAGCTATTTTTTTAGCACCATGTCTGCCTGGGCGCCACCATTCTCCTTACCACAACGATAATGGTCTAAACCTCTGAAACTGTAAGCAAGGCCCCAATTAAATCCTAACTTTTAGAAGAGTTGCCTTGGGCATGGTGTTGTGTTACACAGCAACAGAACTGTGACTAAGACAGAGGTCCACCGGCCTCTTGCACCTCAGTTCCAGCCCAGCATCACCTCTCAGAAGGCAGAAGAATGCTCCCCCCCCAAGCTGCCACAGCCCAAATTTGCCAATGCTTGTATTGCTGCAGGTCAATCTGGGAGAGACTGGGTCTTCTCCACAGCTATCACCCTCCAAGACAGAGAGAGAACCTGCTGTTGGTGCTTGTAATTTAGTCTGGCCAAACACTTAGGATGTGCATGGCGTGGCTAGCTCTTTCTGGGTGCCCACAGTGCCAACTTTAGTAGCATTTCAGGGTGTGAACCACCCAGGGGCTACAATCCCACACTAATCATTGGTATGGGCTGCTCCCATTGGAAGAAACACATTCCCATGGGGCCCACACGCATCCAGCCATTTATGGTGAGAAGGATCCACACTGCAGTTTTGTAGGTAATAATAACAAATGGTGGCTTTGGACAGAGATGAAAGCAAATACAAATAAAGGAAAGATCTGTGGTGTTTTCCCATTATTATCGGACATCAGGACGGCCTGCCTGGAAACCTAAGACACGCTGGTCTCTCTTTTTGTCTTTCAAACATGGACCCTCAGACAATCTGAAGCGGTCTCTTGGTTACAAGGGGAAGGGGGTGGGGAGCGCAGGTCAGTAGATTTATTGTTTCCAGATGTTGGCAACTCTGAGATTTGCTGGAGGATTTCAGAGAGCGACACAGGGCAGCATCAGGGTGGGCTGAACAGGAGAGGGAGAGAAAGCCAGAGGAGCAGGGATGCCAACCACAGTCACAGGACAGAACCGCACTCGTTACCTCAGGGGACAGGCGACAGACCCTTCACCACAGCTGTACAGCCTCAGGAGAAAGTGGACAGGTTTGCTTTCAACTAAGGGGCGGTCACGGTCTTCCTACTGCAGACCCGTGGCAAGCCTGTGCAGACAGCTGCAATGCTAGCAAAAGAAGATGCGGTTGCCTCCTGACGGTGCGAGCAGATAGTCACTACTTTGGGGTTCTACCAAGCAGATCTTTGCTGCAACAAAGCTGTGTGTACGCAGAGACCCTTGCAGATCCTGAAGAAAAAGAACTCCCCCGGCTGGAAATTCTGTTTGGAACCATCCATTTGATTTATAGCAACATCTGCCACATGGAACTAACACAGAAGCAGAAGTGAGGGAGAAAGCTTGGGGGATATCTTGTTTTCAGCTGGGGAGCTGCTGACCTCCAGCAGTTTACAATGCACAAGGCTTCCACAAGGAGTAGGTATGGCAGAAACAAAGAACAGAAAATACCCAAACATCTCTATGGGCTAAGTCTCCCCGTAACAACGCTCTTTCACCAGAACAAAAGCATGTCCCTCCCTCTTGTTGATCCGATTTCATGCCACGAATCACTGAACACTATGGCAGGCGCCTTTTCCGTGTCGTTTGTTACCCTACAAACTACAGACACCAGGAGACTACATAGAATAGTAAGTGAGGATGGGGGGAAAGAGAACATCCATGCATCCATGCATAAAAAGCTGCTAGCATATTGATAGCCACAAGCTTGCAATATAATTAAGATTTTTCATTAATTCATAAGAAAGCAAAATACTCTTTATTTACTATTATAGGTACATAACATATTTAAAAATGAAACTTACTTTTTATTTAGGAGGCTGAGGTTTGGAATATTTATGGGTTTTGCTTCGTTTTTGTTTTTCCATGGGTTATGTGTGTGTGGTATGTGGTGGATACATGTTCACGTGTGTGGGGGTTCATGTTGGCTGTCTCCCTAATCACTCTCAGGTTGGGTCTCTCCCTGAGTCCAAACCTTGCAAATTTGTCTAGTCTAGCTAGCCATCTTGTCCCAGAGATCGTGTCTCCTCCTCAGATGTTCTGGGATTACAGGCAGTCACCAGACACCCCAGTTTTTATGTAGGTGTGGAGGATCTAAACCCTGGTCCTGATGCTTGCAAGGCAAGTGCTTTAATCACTGAGCCGCCTCCCGGCCCATTTTGTTTTGTTTTGCTTTGCTTTTTTGGAAACAATGTCTTACTGTACAGTCCCAGCTGCCTTGAATTATGATATTCCTGCCTTTACCTCCCAAGAGCTAGGATTGAAGGCATGCCTGGCTAGCAGATTTTTTTTTTTTTTTTTGGAGAACATCTGAATAAAATCAGAAGGTTACTATGGCAATCTTTTATTTCTTGCTCTTTTGCTATTTGCTTGATCTTATCACTTTCAGAATAGAGCAAGCCTTCCAAGATTTACATAGTAGGCATGTGCTAATAAATACAGCAGCCGGACTAAACAGGCTGGCTGAAATGAATGCTGGTCAATGGCCACAGCTAGAGACTTCCTCTCAAATGCAGGCAAGGTGAGATGCCAGATGCTGACCCCAAGTCAATTTCTTTGCGTGAAAGCTCATATGGCAACATCACAGAAAGTCCAAAATATTCATATGAAAAAGAACCACTATTTCTACAAAACTGAATGCCTTGGAGAGACAAATGAAAAGTGGGGAGCTGAAAACAGCCGCTGCCAAATTAGGTGCAGGTGAGTCAACTCAAAAACAAACAACTAGCCAGACAGTGGTGGCGCACCCCTTTAGACCCAGCACTCAGGAGGCAGAGGCAGGTGGATCTCTGCGAGTTGGAGGGCAGCCTGGTCTACAGACCGAGTTCCAGGACAGGGTCCAAAGCTACAGAGAAACCCTGTCTCAAAAAACCAAAACCAAACAAACAACGCCCCTCCCAAAATCCAACTAGGGAGTCCAGCAGGGGCATGGAAAACATGGAAAGGGGCATTAAAAAAATCCTAGAGAGTCTGGGACTGAGATTTGTTTGTCTTTATCCAAAGAGAAAAGAACCAGGACCAGCAGGTGACACAGAGGATGTCTCCTTTTAGAGCCCCTCTCAGTGGACAACCACTCAGAGCAACAACAAAGAGCGAGGCTGTGCTGGAAGACTAGAGTCCATCATAATATAGAAGTTTAAAACATGCATGACAATTTTTAGTGATTAAAGGGGCACTGGAGAGATGGCTCTGTGATTACAATCACTTGCTCATCTTCCAGAGGACCAGAGTTTGGTTCCCAGCACCCACACTGGGTGGCTCACAAGCACCTCTAACTCCAGCTCCCGAGAATCCAGCATCCTCTTCTGACCTCTTCAGGTGTGCATACTTGCACACACACACACTCAATATACACACTCTCTCTCTGCACACACTCTCTCTCTCTCTCTCTCTCTCTCTCTCTCTCTCTCTCTCTCTCTCACACACACACACACACACACACACACACACACACAAATGGGTTTCCAACACGAACAGAAAGAAACTAAGAGAGCCGTCTAGTGGATCTGTGTATGAGGAAAGGCACACAGATCTGAGGGAACCTGCATGGCCACTGCTCTTCAAAAACAAAAATAGCCAGAGTGAATGAATCACAATCCATTCCCAGAATGAACTGATCTTCTACAGAGTCCCTCAACATTAAAATCACAGTGGATCCCAGGTTCACTTCGCATCTGTTTTACAGGTCCTGTTCTTGGAATACATTCCTAACACAGAGAACTGGGGCTACGGTAAACAGACAGGAAGACAGAAGACCCTCCTCCCCCTCGCCATTAGACTGAAGAGTTTTTTTCAATGGCCCTCCCTTGTCCTTCAGCATCCAAGTCTGGACTTGTTTCTGCCCCGTGAAGACGCTCGTGCGGACACCGGAGTTGGCGCTTACCTTCTGCCGCTGCTGTATGTTGGCCACCGTGTCGGGCTGGAAATCCAGCTTGTCTGTGCGGCACAGCTTCCAGTAGAGGATGACGACAATCACGGTGACCACTAGCACTGGGATGACCACGCCCACCACGACCCATAGGTTGCTGCTCTGTGACTCCGGGGATGGCCTCTTCACTCTGTCCACAGCTGCAGACGAGCAGAAGAAGGAGAAAGGGTTCTCAGCAATGTATCCTTCATTCATCTGCTGGACGGAACGTGCCCTCCTCTGAGAGACCTGAGGCTCGTCACACAGCTCAAGACACGACAGTAACCAGGCATATTTGAATGTCATACAAGGAACATACCAGGGATCACGACACACATGACGTGCCAGAGGACATAAGCTTGGTTGATTCTAGTCTCCGAGTGTCTAGTTTATTCTTCCTATTCCATAACATTCTCATAAAATGGTTCCCTTCAAATGTGAGAAGAGAAGCTATGTGCTCACAATACAGCTGTAACCACCATATCCAACGGAGTGGGCATCACCTCCCAGGTCTCTGGACAGAACACGAGCTGGAACCTGGAGACCTGGGAGAAGGAAGCTCTTCCCCATTCTACCAACTCACTTCTCACAAATGTTTACTGACGGTGCCAGACACTATTCTAAAGGCAAGATGTGCCGATGAATAAGCAGACGAAACCCTTCAAGGGCACACTGGCTCTAGTGACGGGAAGAGAAAGCCACCAAGGAGTGAATCCCCAGATAAAAGCATCTGCTAACAGTACTATCTGCCTGCGGAAACAGCCGATGAGTACTGTTGCGGAATAATCTTTTTGTATAGCACACAGATGAACAGAAATGGGTTCATTTAAGTTATAAGAGCTAGAGGGACAAGCCCAAGCTCTAGGCCAAGCTTTCATAATAATTAATAATAAGTTTCCATGTCATTATTGGGCAGCTGATGGTACCAGCAAAAATGTCTGACTATAAGTTACAGGACCACAACAAAGACAACTGGGCGCGTCCACCTCAGCACCTGAGAACATGACAGAGACGGGGTTGTCCACAGCTGCACTTAACACAGTAGCCATGGTGGAGAAGCCCAAAACCGCCAACACGTAGATGGATATACAAAGTGTGGAACATCCACCCAGCAGAATACTATGCAGCGTTGGAATAGGAAGAGGGGAACTGTGGAAATGGCTCACTGAGTAAGGACACTCGCTGTATAAACAAGAGGACCTGGATTCAGACCCCTAGTGCCCATGTCAAAGAGGGGCATGGTCACAGTCCTACCTGCAACCCCAGCACCATGTAGGGCAGAGACAGGAGGATGGCTGGGCTGTGGTCGCCAGCCTAGCTCCAGGTTCAGTGAGAGACCCTGTCTCAAAGGAACTGGGGAATGACAGAGTAGGACCCCTGTCTCACACAAACACAGAAGAGAAAAGAAGACAAAAAAGGACTCTCAAAATAGCCAAAACAGGAATGACCTTTGAAAACATGCTATCTGGGAGACACCAGACACACACGGATAAACAAGGCACCTAGAACAGTCAGATAAAGAAAACAGTGGCTACCAGGCCTGCGGCACAACCCAATGGGCAGAGCGTCTAACTCACCAGGCCTGAGGGACACAACCCAATGGGCAGAGCGTCCAACTCACCAGGCCTGAGGGGCACTACCCAATGGGCAGAATGTCTATACTCAGTGACAAGCTCTGGAAATGAAGGGAGGAGGAGGCCACAAGCACCAAGCAGAGTCAATTCCACTCGCTCATACATGTCAAAATGGTCAACAGTGTTACACGTGTGATTTTTCTTTAAATTTTGACATTTTAATTACATAATTTCTTCTTCCCTTTTCCCTCCAATACATATATTTTACCAATCTCCCCTTAAAGAGGACTCTTGGGTTTAACTAAAGGGGGTGTTTGCTAGGAAACTGAAGTCTGAACATGGGATTTTGGGGTATTGTCTTCCTAACCTGTGACCTTTGAACCCCTGGAACACAGATCTTAATGGAAACTTCTTTATTAAAGGTAACAGGTATCAATTATTAGATGACATTGAAATGAGCTGTATCCTCTGGAACTGCCTGTCTGCACTCACAGCGGTCTCTCACCTTTCATGGCTCAGATGACCCTGCACGAACCCTTCTGCTCCCTCCCCGCTCCTATTTCCTTCGCTAGCTGATCCTTTGCCCTGTGTCTTCCTCACTCCGTGCCTGCTGATCCTCTGAAGCTCCTGGGAGCTCGGAGCTTCTCCCACTCAGACCCAGTCTCGAAACCCAAATGTTCCTCCTGTCCCCCTCATACCCCTGCCTCCCTGTGACAACCCTCTTATCTTTGTTTCAAAAACGGTGCCCGCTGTTCTCCTAAAATGCCCTTTGCACATCAAAGTCTAGTGTTAGATGCTGTATAACTCTTCCTCTCTGCTCACACCAGCTTCCACGCCTTGTCTTTTCAAACACCCCTAAATTGTGACTGGCAGGGACTAAGGCCTGAGCTCCCTCCTGTCTCAGAAGCTAAGACCTCTTCTAGGATCAAACTATGTCTGATCAGAGACGGAGCAACAACACGGAAAGTATATTTTTACTAAAGATTCATTATTTATTGTTACTTCATATATATGGGATCTTTGCCTGCATGTATGTCTGTGTACCACATGGGGGCAGTGCACTCAGAGGTCAGAAGAGAGTGTCAGAGCCCCTAGAACTGGACTTACAGGGGGTGGTAAGCTGCCATTTGGGGGCTGCGAATCCATCCAATGTCCTCTGGAAGAGCAGTCAGTGCCCTTAGTCACTGAGCCCTCTCTCCACCCCCAGTGAAAAGTCGTAGAGAAGTTTGTGTTTGGCAGTGAGAGAACAAAGACTGGATTTTACAATGTGGCCTGGATGGAATTCACACTAATTGCTCGTTGTGCCTGAGGACAAGCAATAGCATGGACGTGGTGACAGCTCAGCGGAGGAGCTGAGGACTGATATTCCTCTTAGCGCTAATCTAAGAAAACCACAGAGAGGCACAGACAGCGTCCTGAAGGCCCCTTTACTGGCCCTGCTAGGAAGTGAGGCTTCTTCTACCAACCCTGAAATCCCAGGATGCTTGCGTGGATGGCCCTGAGCAGTCCTCAGGTCAGGCGATGGAGACAAGAGCAGGGTTAAACAAGCTTTCCATGAGAAGGGACGGTGGACTGGTCAGACGGACATGACCGCCCGATCTTTGCCCTCAGGGCTTTCATTGAGAGTTAGATAGTCTCAGGATGACACGGTTCCTAGGTGAGGACCCAGGGCCCTGTGTGTGAGGAAACCAGGCTGGGTCTTTTCGGGTCCTCGTACATACATGTTTGGTATGCAAAGACGTGTCAGGAGCATGCATGTTTGGTATGCGAAGATGTGTCAGGAGCATGCATGTTTGGTATGGGAAGCCGTGTCAGGAGCATGCATGTTTGGTATGCGAAGATGTGTCAGGAGCATGCATGTTTGGTATGGGAAGCCGTGTCAGGAGCGTCCAGGTTTGGTACGGAAAGCTGTGTCAGGAAGAATGATACACGCATGTTGTGTAGAAGTCACTGTGAGTGCTGGTTAAGCTCAGAAGCCCCATGGTATGCATACAGGCCTGGAACCCCTGAACAGGCTCACACAGTAGTCACCTGAACTTGTTGGGGGGTTTCACGGCATGTGTGTGGTCCATGTCAGGATGGGCGCTTTAGATGGAAGAAACGGCTCACCCAGCCCATGTCACTGCGATTAGTCTGCCTGCTCTCACCCCTTCTTCCTGCCTTCGGGTTATCTCTGGCTCTGGGGCCAGCCAGAAGCTACCTGTGGATTTCTCATTATTCGATCAAGCCAGCACTGGTTAATCTTGTAACTCTGGTGAGTGACAAGCACTTGAAGGACTGTTGACTTGCCTGCTGATAGGCCAGTGTTTGAAAATCTGCACCCTCTCCATTTCCCACGTGCCTGTATCCTCTCAAAATCAACCTCGTATAAAACATGGAGGGAGGTGGCTCTCAGCATCAGCCTCCGGCTCTGGATGCAGTGCTAGGAAGTGCTTTTTTATTATTTCCTCATTGATCTGAAACAGACCCCAATTATGCAGCCATCTCCCAAGCACACCCAACAGCCTACTAAAGGTATGACGTCACCTCTCCCACCACGGTCCACCGAACGAAGGAAGTGCACACAGCAGCCCTCACACCGGTTAGTCTCCAGGGACAGGGACTGATTTCACCAAAAGGTAATTTCAAAGGTATTGTTTAAAAGCTGGGCTGAAGGCACAACTCAGGGGTTAAGAGCACTTGCTGCTCTTCCCGTTGACTTGGGTTTGGCTCTTAGCACCCACATGGTGGTTCACGACCCTCTATAACTCCAGTCTCAGCGGATGTAATGCCCTCTTCTGACCTCTGTGGGCACTGAACATGGGTGGTACACAGATATCTATACAGGCAAAACACCGGTACACATAAAATTAAAATCTAAAAGAACAAGAGTTTAAAGCTGCATTGTTGACTGTGTCAGGGAGAGCAGGGTGCCACAGCTTAGAGCTGATATAACGGGGCTGCAATGCTCCAGAAGCCGGACCTGAAGGACATGAAGACATAAAGCAGAAGATGCCTGGAGGTGGGCGGCCTCCATGTGGACTGTCTTCCTCTATATGGCTCTGCCAGAGTCGCTCCATCTAGCTGAGAGATGTGTTTAGTCTTAGTTTATGGATATGAGTGTTTGGTAGAAGTAGGAGTGCACCCTGTGTGTTTGGTGCAGAAGCCAGAGGAGGGCGTCAGGTGTCCGGACCTGGAATTGTGCCGGTCACGAGCTGCCATGTGAGGGCCGGGAACTGCCAAAGCTGCCACTGAGCCATCTCTCCAGCACCATCACTCCACTTAGAGGAAAGAAACAGAACAGTGTGTGAAGACCGAGAGTCACTCGGAAGGCCTGTTACAACGAAGCTGGCTACAGTTTCTCTCCCATCTGCCAATGATTTCATCCGGAAAGTGTAACTGACTGAGTGGACATAAAAGTCCTACTTGTTACAGACAAGCTAGGCTACAGTAACCGACCTTCATAATGAAGTACAAAGCTACCTGAGAAGAACAAAAACATGTCTTGTGGTCCTAGCATGCCTGTGACGCCTGACCTCTGCGAGTGCTGATGGGCCTGTAAATTATACCAACTCCACTTTCTCACAGGCGTTAATTACAAGATTATGTCTGAAATGGGACTGTCTTAGTGGTCATCTCTGATTGCATCATTACATCTGCCCGGGGGGTATTTGTGTATTTGTCCCATTTTACGGACGTCAGCACGCATCCACAATGACGTCTAAGCATGGTCCATCAGTCTGTGTTTTTAATAAGCATATTGATGAAGAAAAAAAAAAGCACTGTCTCCTACCTGTCCTCAGTAAGTTCTTCAGGGTTCTCTGATGTCGAAGACATCTGCCTATCCCTCTACTTCGGGAGCAGGTTTGCCCACACACTACCAAGGACTGCTCTGAATAATGGAGGAAACACCCACACCAAGACCGCAGTCCAACTTGTCAGATTGTATTTGGAGAGTTACAGTCTCCATGCTGTTCCCTGTTCTTTATTTTAAATACACACCCCAAATCTGGCAGTTGGAAAAGAGGTACTAAGAGCAAGCATTGCCAAAGGGCAGGGCCAAGCACCTTCCAATAATAATAAGAAATATCAAACACATCTTTCTAACCGTAGAGTGGTGTGAGTTGAGGGTGAGGGAGAAACAGGATCAAGAAGAGGGTAAGGATCAAGGGATTCCTTTGTGTTAAAAGGCCCCGAAGGAAGCCAGACAGCCTAGAGGGCACCTCCCAGCTTCCTGAGTGACTCACTGGCCCCACCAACATGCAGGGTGTGACATGGAAGATTTTGGAATAAAAACAGAATAGGTGCATTATTTTACCTAAGACAGTTTTGGAAATGAAAACTGGCATAGGGGTAGAGGAAAGGATGTTCGTGTTGCTATAAGGTCCTGTGACTCACTAGTAACTCCACGAACATGAGGTGTGAGGTAGTAAAAACAACAGCAATGGCCACAGTCACACCGATGGAAATAAAAATAAAGAGGTTTTCAGCAAACGAAGGATAAATAAAAGTCACACAGGCCTGATGTCCTGAGCTGGGACCCCAGAACCCCATAAATATGGAAGGAAAGAACTGAGTCTACAAAGTTGTCCTCTGATCTCCACAAATATACCATGGCAGGTGTACATGCACACACAGGCGCACACACACACACAAACACACACATAAATACATACACACACACGCACGCACACACATGCATGCATGCACACACGCACAGTGTATATTTTATAATTTATAATAAATAATTTTAAGAACAATACAAGGAAACCTCAGCAAATGAACATCAACAACCAGCTTCTTCCACAAACACACTTCAGAACAAGGTTTTAAGACATAAACCCACCACACACAGGTCTGTGCTGTAGTTCAGACCTCTCTATCAGAATACAAGTGGCTTTGGCCTCCAGCATGGCTGACAGAATGGAACTCTTAGACTTACGCTGGGCAATGACGCCTTGAATCCGGTACCCCAAGATGATCGCTGCTCTCTGGAGATCGACCTTGTTGATCAGGTCTGAAGACTCGGTTGCACTAAGTCTCTCTCCATCTTGATTCTCCACAAAGTAGATGAGCTGTACAGGATTGTCGTCTCCCTCCAGCCTGGACACGTTTACCACCTGAGACAGACAGAGTCCATCAGCATCGGGAAAGTTCACAGTGCCGGCTGCCCCTTCTCAGGGCACTCAGTCCCTAGTGTGTGACTTGGGATTTGTCCCAGCCCTCTTAAAAAGCTCATTGCTACTTCTGGAGTCCCCGAATCTCCCTACTCTCCTCTGGGGGAGACAGAGCTACAGAGAAAGGCCCTCTGTGTAGAATAGCAACTGTACCTTGTTTTGTTTTAGTGTCTTCTTTGAGACAAAGGGACCAAGAGAGTGCACAGAACAACACCAGACAGGATGGAATTGTAACCGACAACCTCCAACAAACTCACCATGTCATGGGAGTGACCTGTGTGCCTACCCTTTATATTAAAAAGTCTGGGAATCCTTTTCATAGAAATCACGTTCTCAGCGGTAGCCACTTCTGTTAAAGACTCCGAAAGCTCCATTCTAGAAGGAGCCATGGAAGGTCTAACTTCAGCATTCTTTCTGGATGACGGCTAATCAGATTTATATCGGGAACCACAACATAAAAGGTATCTTTCCAAGTCAACCATTTGGGTGACGAAAAGTATGTGTGTATTATACAAATTATGTGGCCCAATGAAGAAATTTTGAAAAACACATGCAAAAAACTATATAGTGAAACCATCTTGAAAATTCAACCAATTATAGAAAGCCACTCTGAAGACTCAGCCCACTCCCCTTTCCTTCCCTGCGTTATTTCAGGACTGTCCTTCATGTTCCTCTCTACAGCTTTTCACAGCACATTTCACAGTACTGAGTTTTTCAATTGCTGGAGAATATTCCAATACATAAAGATCTACCCTTTACCCACTCCCTAATCCCGAGACAGTTACGTTGGTTCAGTATCTGTTATCTCCTTTGTTAATTGGGAGGAGGTTGAAACAAGGTCTCACTCTGGACCCTTGGCAGACCTGGAACTCGCTACTTAGACCAGGCCGACCCCTAAGTCTTAGACTCATCAGCATCTACCTCCCTAGTGCTGAGATTAACAGCGTGCACCACCATGCCTGGTTCTTTTATTAATTGTTAAAACTGCACTTATTTGTGTGTGTGCATGTGTGTGTGTGTATGCGTATGCGTATGCGTGTGGGCACATGTGTCCCTCCTAGTACAGAGGACAACTTGCAGGAGTGCTCAAACTCAGGTCCAGACTTGGTAGCAAGAGCCATCTCACTAGCCCGTGTTCAGTGTTTCAGTTTTCATCCACAAAGTTCAGGTGAAGAGCCCTGTACTTTTGTTTACAATGCCTTTTGTAGAGACCAGAAACAGAGCATGGCCTCCGGGCAATCTGTCAGGTGGCGTGGATCTGAGGAGGCTTGGTGACCTTCCACAGAAGTCAGGCTCCTATCTGAAGAAGCTTAAGTATCCAGCGTGGGACCTGATCACCCAGGTTTCTGGTGCTCTGCAACCTCTCTATGCACTCAGCCCTTGTGAAGCCACAGGCTGCTGAACACCACAAGGCCTTCACAATTCATTTTCATATTTATTTTGTTGTATGCCTATTTAATTAATAGACATTTATTAGTGCTTTTTTTCCTTTTTATTTATTGGGTTTTTTTTTTAAGTTCTTAGTATTTTGGGTTGGAGAGATGGCTCAGCGGTTTACAGCATGGACTGCTGAGATCTGAGTTCAAATCTCAGAACCCCCATAGGAAGGCTCCCAGCCAACTGCAACTCCATCCTCAGAGGCATCCAACACCTCTGACCTCCACGGACACCTGCGCTCACATGCACACACCCTTGCACACATATGCATAATTAAAATAATAAGAGTAAACATCTAAAATCTTAGTCCTTTGTAAAGTTCCCTGGTGTGACTGCATCTGGCAAGGAAACCATTTTGGGAGCCTAAGAAACACGTTTCTGGGTGGGGAACAGGAAGCAAGGCTGAGGGGGACACATGTGGTGAAGGTGCTAGAATTAAAGGACACTAATTCTAGGCAAAACTGGCACCCTGACCTTTCCAGGTCAATCCCGTATCTTGTTCTCACAGCCCCTGCCCCGCCCACCAGTCCCCCTTCACTGCTGGGTTTCATCCTAGTTCTGGGTTCCTGAAATGGTCTATGAACCCCATTTTTCTGTGATGCTCCCAGCCTGTAACTGACTGGCAAAGACAGAAATCCACACCAGTCACACAGAGACAGGAATTAATCAGCAGCTCCACCCCCAAAGTTCTGTGACTATGTGTGTAAAAAATAGGTCATTTTCCAACTCAAACAGCTCTGTGGCCTGCCTGCCCGTTCCCAGAGAGAAGACAATTTGGGGCACAGGCTGGCAGGAGGTGGGGGAAGATGAGATTCTGAACAGAGGGCAGAAAATGCCCTCCGCCTGCTAGGACTCTCCCAGATCACCAATTCAGTTCTAAAATGCCACAAAAACCATTAAATAAGTTCAGCTGTTGGTGATTTTAAAAACTGTGCTTCAAAAAAAAACAAAGCCTTAAGATGATACAGGAACCCACTGTAAATTTTCTACCACACCCCCTGCAATCCAGGGCGAGGCCAACGAATTGCTAAGGTTTCTGTCTGGACTCCAAGTGACATGCAAGGCTGCCGTGTTCTTCTGAACAATCAATTCACACCAAACTTTTCCATTTACACGAGAATCGCAGATTCCCAGGGGCTTTTCCTCTGCCTACCACCCTCCTTCGGTGAGTACCTGCACCACACTGTTGCCAGCAGCCACCGTGGCCCTGCGCCACAGTCTTCTCCTGGTGGGCACCTCGCTGAGCAGCTGGGCCAGTTTGCGCTCCATCTCGGCTGGAAACACTTCGTTATGGAGCTGCTTTTCCACTACGCCCAGGAGGACTGTGTTCAACAAGAAAGCAAGCCCTCAGAGCAAGTCAGCACACAGGAGCAAACACGGGGGGCGGGGGACAACGACAGGGTGCGTGCACCTGTGCAGAAGTCCCACACAAGACTACCACAAAACACTAACTACTAGGCAGGAGGCATGGTGGGGGGGGGGGGACTAGATGGGAACAGAGTAAAGGACCCTGGCAATGGCCCTAGTCCATGGCAAACTAAAGGCGAGAAGCCCCAGGAACTCAGCCATGGAAGCTCTGAGCACAGCGTCTCACAAGATCAAAGAAATCCTGTTGGTCTGCTCCATCTCAAACTTCAGGATAGTCTGAGTTTTTATCTTGTCTCTGGATAGACTTCCACTCTCCCTTGAAGAGAGGGGAGGGATCTGCCTGCTTCTTGCTATCTGTATCAGACAAAGGTATCTAAACAGACAATCAGCTTATCCTCCACTTGGCAGGGAAGCAGACTTTCAGCCAAATTTGTTTCAAAGGCTCCCCTGAGGTCCAACACTAGGGAAGTCACCTCAACACTCCGAGGTCTGGAAAATGGAATCTAAGCACCAAGCAAAGCACTGAGCCCCACACAAGGCTTCAGAGCCCGTAAGTGGTGACTGTGTAGACACCCTCTTTCCTCATGCTGCCTGCACACTGGGGCCTGGGACTCTCAGAATTCAGAGACCAGGTTATTAGAGAGCCTTGCACTGAAACGCCGCGTCCTCAGTCTAAACACAAGGCTCTATCTGTGGACACATCGACCTGGATGTGCCCAAGTTTGTCTAAATACCTGACCCTGGTCCCCAAACTACTGTATTCATCTAGCAATACTTTCAGGGAAAAAAAAAAAATGCTTGCTTCTCAGCTTCACCCTACCTCAGGTCAGGAGACTAGATTCCCCGTAGATCCCGCCCTGGTCTTGATGCATGAATTTTAAAGATGCCCTTTCTGTGCCATAACTCAGTGGGACACATTCCCAAAGTCCAAACTGAATCCCTTTTCTCATTCATTCTCTGCCAAGAATTTAAAGTACATCTTGTCCTCAATTTGGGAACCAGGAAGAGTGCATCATTCGCCACATGCCCTCCCAGACTTCTTACTGAACAGTGCTCCAAACGTTATGTCAATCGAACATACCTGTTCTGACCCAGGAGGACTTCAGTAACTGAGACAGGTTGAGCTGTGGGTACTGGAAGGCTACAGAAAGGGAAAAGTCGGAGAGGGAGGAAAGACAGTGAGAAGCATGTTTCCACTCAGGAAGGCAAGTGTTCTAGGAGCGTGGGGTAAGTCACAACACATCACCCTTCCTAGACTATAGCACTCCTCGAGACCCCAGGAGCATGAAGACAGAGGGCCACCAGGTTCTGAGACCCTAGGAGAGGGAAGGACCACCACATCACACAGGCCACCACAACGTCTCCTGTGTCTGTTGTTCTCTAGCAAAGCATCCGCAAGCTGTATGCGTCAGCTCCAGGAGCTCTCTCGGCAATGCCTCTGGGTAAAGTGAAGCACTGTCTACCCTGCTGGGAACTGTCTCTGGTACCCCTGCTTGTCAGTTTAGCGGTATGTGCATGTACTGTACAAAAATCAAAATTGTTGTATACAAATAACTTCATATTTTTGTGGTTTATTAATTTTGGTTTCTCTGTGTAGCCTTGGCTGCCCTGGAACTCGCTCTGTAGATCAGGCTGGCCTAGAACTCACAAAGATCTGCCTGCCTCTGCTTTCTGAGTGCTGCGATTAAAGATGTGTGCCACCACCACCCAGTTTTATGGTTTATTTTTAATCATGTGTGTCTGTGTGCATTTGTGCACATGTAGAGCGTAGGTGCCAACAGAGGCTGGAAGGGGCTGTCATAGCTCCTAGACTATTCAAGAGCACTGTGTACACGCGCTAATCACTAAGTCATGTCTACAGCCCCCAACTTTCATATTTTATACTTTTAAAGTTCACTCTTTCTGGCATCCAGTTTCATGGGTTTGGGAAAATGTATCATTGTGTAAGCATCACCAAGTCAGGACCCAGGACATTTCATTCACTAACACCGTCCACCTCCCCAAACCCACAGTGTGTGTGCACTAGGGTACCTGTGTCAGTGTGTGTGCATGCACTGGAGTACCTGTGTCAGTGAGTGTGCACTGGGGTGCCTGCGTCAGTGAGTGTGTGTGTACTGGAGTACCTGTGTCAGAGTGTGTACACACTGGAGTACCTGTGTCAGAGTGTGTGCACACTGGAGTACCTGTGTCAGTGTGTGTGTACACTGGAGTACCTGTGTCAGTGAGTGTGCACTGACTGTGATCAGTAGGCCATTCTGATGAGAATTTTATGATGGAGACATTATACATGTGAGTGAGCAGGAGCACAGGAAAAATCCTCTCTCCATCCAGATCCCTTTTTACTATGAGCCCCCAAAGCAATCTAGAACAATTGCGTCTCTCTCTCTCTCTCTCTCTCTCTCTCTCTCTCTCTCTCTCTCAAAACAGTTTAAAAGTAGAGATCTACCAAAAAAATACCAGCAGCCCCTTCCCCAGTGCTCCCAAGGAGCCAGAGAGTACTCACGTTCTGCGATCTGCAGCACCGGGTAGCCCAGGTAAAAGCTGAACTCCACGACCGTCAGGTTCCTGAGCAGATCGCTCACCTCCGACCCATTCAGGAAGCCTTGCACGCCTTTAACAGCAAAGATAATGTTCACCGGGCCCCTCCGAGGAGCCACCCGCGAAGAACCAATGGTGACATTCACAATCTGGAAGAGGGAGGTCAGAAAGCACAGCTAGAATAAGCCGTGGGGCTGGGAGCCTGACTGATATCTGCCACGAGTTCTCTGATCAATGCTCTTCACAGAGGTAAAGTGAAAAGATGTTTATTTTTTAATGACGGTGTCTCACTATACTGTCCTTGCCTTAAAGTGGTGGGATTACAGGTGTGTGTCTCCAAGCCTGACCAAAAAGGAGGTAAAATTCTAAAAGAAGAGGCACTGGGCACTGGCTTTCTAAGCTTGTTCCTTTATTTATTTAATTTATTTTGGGGAGACTTTGAACACTGTTTCCTGGAAATGTCTTCTCCACTAAGTGATGAACTGAACGCATGCATTCAATTCCCTCCCCCGCCTCCAGCCCCAAATCCCCCCAAAACAACAGTAAGTCTGAACGAAGGGCGATAAATCCACAACAGCACTGGAAAAAAACCAGAGGTTCTGTCAAATCTCCACAAGATGAAGAAAGGACAGGATGGTGCTGAAATAAACCAGTACCAAGAGAAGCAAGAGCCTAAACACACACAGGCAAAGGCTAAAACGGTCTCGTTCTAACCCCAGGGAGCTGGGGAGGCCCATGGGAGAAAGCTGAAGACCTGAGACCAGACAGAGCAGGAATCAGTCCAGTCAGTTAAGAGGAAGCAAGCCAAGAGTGAACTGAAGTGAACTCGTCTTGCTGAATACACACCCAGGCCAAGGCGGGCAGCATCAGTGCCCTCTCCCCGAACAGCCCAAAGAACTGCTCTCTGAGGAAAGTGAGCCCCTCCCAGAGGAGACTAAAGGCATCGCATGAGTTAAGACCTCCCCACAAGGAGGGTAGGAACAGATAACTCCAAGTACACCAGAGAACACAAGACCCAAAAGAGGAATAAAAAGGGAAAGACACGGAAAACACTCAACAGGGCCCCGTCCCCAGAGGAGGGCCTCCTGAGCCTGACACAGGGCAGGGCCAGTCTGCCTCTTACTCTCTGACCACAAGCTGTACAGTGCTGTAGGCAGAACCCACATTCTGGTATATTCTGATATAGTTCCCCAGTTCCCAGAGCTCAAATGGACTCTCCCATCAGAAGACAGGGCTGACACAGAGGTGGCCTCCTCAAGGGGACAGCCAGGCCAACAGCCATAACTAACCCCATTCTCCCTCCCTCACCACCAACCAATCTACTAACCAATGGCCCTCGAGACACAGAAAAGCAGATGGGCATATAGGACAATACTGCAGAGAAAACAGATATATAGGAAGGACATAGAATAAAACCTTTTAGAAATCCTCCTTAATGTCCTCAGAGACACAGAAGGCAACTTGCTAACAAAGGACGAAATGAAAAAGGAACAAAGAACAATGAAGGGAAATGACTGGTCAGAAATTTCAGTGTGAATGGACACAGCTGAAGACAAAATTAGTGACTCAGAGGACAGACCTTCCAAAATCGGACAGAACAAAAGTTCCTCACCATATGAAGGAAAATAGAGACACAAAAAGAGAATTCAGGAGTGCTAAATCTGGAGTATTCAAATACATTTCAGGAAGGGAACAGAGAATAGGGGGTGCCATACCATAAAACATTAGCAGTTTGATTAGAATATACCCGAAGCCAGTCTGGTGACCAGAGGAATCCTCTGTTTAGACCAGCTATTCTCAACTTGTGGGTCACGGCCCCTTTGGGAGTAAACTACCCTGTTCACAGGGGTCACATATCAGACATTTACGTTATGATCCATAACAGTAGCAAAATGACCGTTCTGAAGTAGCAATGAAATAATTTCATGGTTGGGGGTCACCACACATGAGGAACTGTATTAAAGGGTCACAGCATTAGGGAAGTTGGGAGCCACTTGTTTAGACGGAGATGTGACATCCCTAAGAGCCCCACTGACAGAGGTGGAGCATCTCAGGCAGGAAAGCTGAAATGCCCCAAAGTTCAAAACTTTCAGAGCACTGTCACTAATGTACAAAAAATAAATCAATTCCTATTTTCAGGTTAGAGAAACCAGCTGTGCAAAATATTCCAAATAAATGCAAAAACCCCATCATATGAGCAAATCCAGCACCAAGCCTTTCAGATCTAGGATCTGCAAACTGCTGGGAAAGGGAAGTATACTCACGCATGACCTCGCTGACCAGACAGCTAAGACCATCCCTATGTGGAAACATTACTGAATTTCTTGCAAACAACCAGCTCTTCAGCTCACCCTGTCAGCCACTCTGAAATCTCTACCGTCAAGCTGTAGACTCGATACCTTACCAAAGGTCAGCGCTGGCCCACAGGAGCTGGGTTCCCACCACCAGAGGGCATACCCCTCCCCCATGGAACTTGCACCAGGCTGGCCTTGAACTCACAGAGATCCTCCTGCCTCTGCCTCTGAGAGCTGGGATGAGAGCATGTGGCACCCAGAATGGAGGACGCACTTGGAGGACAGGGCCCTCTGCCCTGCGGTCAGTGGCGCTCTCACCTGCACTGTGAGGTTATACGCCCCCTGGTGCTTCCTCACTTCAAAGAGAGCTGTCATCAGGCCCTTCTCCACGCTCTGGGTGAAGTTGCAGAAGCCGGTATCCACACTCGGAGGCACAAACTGCAGTACTGCAAAGAAAGACAGCGATCAAAGCCCCAAGAACGAGGGGCTGCTTCGAGAGGAGACAGCACTAAACTGACCAAGGCCCCACTATCTGAGATCTAGCACCACTGTGTATGGCTTCTTTTGTTTTTTAAGATTTACTTACTTAAAATATCAGGATTGAACACACACACGACTATCTTAATAAAATGCAGAAGGCTGTACCGAACAGACACTGGGGTATCCTGGCTCTAGGGATCCACAGGCGTAGGAAAAGCTGTGTAACTGGCAGGCCAGTTAGGGATTTCTGGCCTGGAATGAAAACCCTGGTAAGGCCAAAACTCTCTCCACAAATCCTGGTTGCAGTTGCCTCCATCACCCAAACAGATGGTCAGAATTCTTATTTCTTTACTGACAAAAACATGGCCCTGACTATTTGAAAATGAAAGTCTTAATTTCTAAAGTGGAAATCGATGCCAAGAAAATTTTGCTTTCAACAAACTCCCTCAGAGTCAACTTTAATGGAAAAGATAATTATCAATAAGGTAAGATTTTAACATGGCACTGATAGATGGTTGTGAGCTGAATCCCAGTCCTCTGCAGGGGCAGCAAGCTCTTAACTGTTGAGCCATCTCTCTAGGCCCCAGTATTTTTCCTTAAGATCACCTTGTAAAACATCCTTTTTGTTCTTAGTTAACAGAGTAATTGCAGTGAGTGACAGGAGTCTGTTTCTTCTGCATGTTTATGGTTAAACTTTAACATTTCAACACACACACAACGATGTCTCTGTTGCTCAGAAATTCGTTATTTGTGTTGGGAATGTTCAAAATCGTCCCTCTGGCTATTATGAAATATACAGCTGGCGGCTGGAGAGATGGCTCAGGAGTTAGGAGCATCAGTTGCTCTTCCAGAGAACCCAGTTGTAATTCCCAGAATCCACACAGCAGCTCACGAACATCTAACTCCAGTTTTGGGGAATCCAATGCCCCCTTCTGGCCTCTGAGGGCACTGTATACACATGGTGCAGAGACTCATGCACAGACTTAAAATGAAGGTTATTTAAAATTAAGGATACAGCTAATGGTTGTCGAGCACATTTCTGCTATGACATCACAGACACAAGGTCACTCCTGCCCAGCTGCACGCAAGGGAGGGGGGTGTTAGCATCTCACACTCTATCCTTCTTCCCCATACTGTCTGGAAATCACTTGCACACCAGCTTCCAGATCCGCTTCTACAAGGTAAAACAAATGTGTGGTATGGGGCTTTTTGTTTCTGACAGTTCACTTAGTATAGCAACTCCCAGTTCCATCCATGCAAACTGAAGGATTTTGCTCTTAGTGGCGGAATGCTATTCCATTACGTACATACGCCACATTTCTTCATCTATTCATCTGTCAATGAACACATGGGTTGATTGCCTATCTTCCTTTCTGTAAATACAGGAGCAAAAAGACACAGTGGAGCTCTTTCTCCAATATACTACCTTCAGTGTGTGTGTCAATGGGCCATACAGTAAACTTCTAGCTTTTTATAATGTCTGTATAATCAACATTACATGATCGGGGTGAAAGTAAGACAATCTAAGCTATAAAGCAAGACCTTGTCTTCAAAAACAAAACAAAAAAAGTGAACACTAGAGAGATAGCCCAGCAGTCAACACAAAGTCTTACTGCTCTTGCAGAGGACCTGGGTTCAAGTCCCAGAACCCAACAGCAGGTGGCTCACAACATCCTGTAACTCCAGATCCAGGGGATCTGATGCCCTCTGGCCATTGCGGTGCACATAAACTCATTGCAAACATACACACAGAATAAAATCAAATACATAAATAAACAAATCAGGGCCAGTCAGATGGCTCAATGGGTAAAAGCACTTTCCATCAACCCTGATGACCTGAGTTTGATCTCAGGAAACCACACGGTAACAGAATCTACTCCCACAAATCTCCATGTGCATGTGCACACACATACTTAAACAAAGCCTAGCATTTGTGAACTCACCTTCCTCTGTGACCTCATCAGCACAGGCTAATACTGTCTTTTGGTTAAGCTCTTCTCTGGTAAGAGCGTAGATCTCAGTTTTGTTTTGTTTTGTTCCAAGACAGGATTTCTCTATATAAGCACCCTGGCTGCCCTGGAACTCAACCTGCCTCTGCCTCCCTAGTGCTGGGATTAAAAGCATGTGCCACCACTGCCTGGTTCATAGTTTTGATGTACATTTCCCTGATTAGCAGTGTGTAGTAAGAGCTGTGGGCCTCTTCCCACAGCCCAGCTCCTGGCCACCTGGCTAGCTTATACCCCCGAAGTAACAACACACAAACTGTATTCATATAAACACTGCTTGGCCCATTTCTATTAATGTGTGTCGCACCACGAGGTGCACTTACCAGGAAGATTCTAGCCTAAGTCCATCCTGGGTCAGAGCTTCATCATGTCTGCCGGGGAGAGGGGGCATGGCGTCTGAGCTCACTTCCTCTTCCTCCCAGCATTCTGTTCTGTTTACTCCACCCACCTATGTTCTAACTTATCAGGGCTAAGCAGTTTCTTTATTAATTAACCAATGACCTTCCTCCATCAGTAGTGCTAGGCTTTTTTTTCCCTATTTTATTGGCCATTTGCATATCCTGCTTTGAAAAATGTTTATTCTGGCCATTTCCCACTGAGTGTAGAAGGGGTACATCATCTATACACATGCACATGGATACCAGAGGCCAACGTCAGGTGTCCTTTTCAATTGTTCTACACTGTATTCTTGAGACTTGGTCTCTCACTGAATCTGGACCTTGCTGATTTAACCAGACTGGTTAGCGAGCCCCACGGATGCTCCTTTACCAGTCTTCCAGGTGCTGGCGTCACAGGGCTTTCTACGCAGCTTCCCCATTAGTGCTGAGGGTCAAACTCGGGTCTTCATGTCTTCATGCCTGCACGGCAGGCTCTTTACAACTAACGCCATCTGCTCAACCTGCCAGCTTTAAATTAGATTACTTAAGGGGTTTGCTGCTCGGTGGTTTGATTTCCCTGCGGATTCTGGAAATGGATACCTTGTATTCTCTCCATTCTGGTCACTGTTCCTGCTGCAGTACAGAAGACTTACTAATGTGAACCTATTTGTCAGTTTTTGCTTTGAATACCTCTATTTTTGTGGTCATATCCTCTCCCCTCCAAAAAATATCCTAAAAACATTTCTTCAGCGTCTCCTATCAGTTTTACAGTTTAAGATCTTACATTTTGGTCTCAATTTTAAGGACATTTTTTTTTTTTAGTATGGGGGTGGGCCTAGTTTTTTTCTCCTCCATAAAGACACCCAGTTTCCCAGTACGGTTTCCTAAAGACGCTATACTTCCTCCAATATATGTTCTTGTTGTTTCTGTCAAAACTCTGCCTGTTTCTGCGCTTTCTGTTTTGTTGGTCTCCATGTCTGCTCTTCGGCAACGCCATGACAGTTTGGTTATTATCGCTTTGTAATATAGTTTGAGATCTCTTACTATGACTCCAGCGTTCCTTTTGTTCTCTTTGGGGGTTTGGTTTGGTTTTGGTTTGGTTTCCATTCAAATTGCAGAAGTCCTCCCACTTCTACCCATGAGGAATGCCACCAGCCCTCCCCCCATACCCATGAGGCCTGTCCTTAGCCCTCCCTCCCTCTTGTACCTGTGAGGAATGTCACTAGTACTCTCAGAGGAACTGCAACGAATCTACAGATCACTTGGTAGTATAGACATTTTTCTTTTACATTTTCTTCTTTTACTTCTTTTCCAGGTAATCCATCAATATATTTTTCCCTACGATCTACTGTTAGAAGTTACTGTGTTCCCTTAAAGGTATCACGCTGTCTTGTTCTTTCGTCTACCTTGTGTCTCTATATTAATATTTGCATGCCTGCTGGATTCACTGCCTCTATCATTTTAAAAATATGCCTTATTTTTAATATGTGCAAATAGTGTGCAGGTGTCTGTGGAGGCCGGAAGAGGGCATTAGATACCTCGGAGCTGGAGCATAGTAGACACGAGCCACACATTTGCTGGGAACCAAATTCAGGTTCTCTGGAAGAGCAGTGGCCACTCAACTGCGAGCCATCTCTCCAGCACGACCTCTGTCACCTTTATGGGATGGTTTCTTCCTGGGCCCTACAGTGCCAGCTGGAACATGCTGCTCTGCTCCCAGGCAGTGTCTGCCAAACTCCTGCACCTACAGTCAACATAGGCTGCGTCCCCAAGTGTCCTAATGACCTCGGCTGCAGAGGCAATGAGACTGTAGCACTAACTGTAGGGTGCACGTCAGTTTCCACACCCCACTGGGTCGAGGTGGGTGTGCCCCAACATTCCCGATAATAAGGCAGGGTGACTCTCAAGGTCTGAGGGAGGCGGGAAGCTCTGGTGGGATGAGGGTTAAAAATTGGATTTACTTTGAGGGAGTCTCTGGGGGCGAAGCTGTTTGAGGTGTTGCTACAAGTGTTTCCCAGGGTCACAAAGCAGGATTCTGCTCTGCAGAGACTCGGTGGGCCGAGTTCCTGAGATGGGCTCCTCAACTACTTATTGAGGGTGATGCGGACTGGTTGCTTCCTGGAGCCAAGGATGAATTATATTACTTCTAAGTTTCACCTCAGAGAAATATAGAAAGCCAACATTTGGTCAGGCGGTGGTAGCAAACGCCTTTAATCCTAGCACTTGGAAGGCAGAGGCAGGTGGACCTCAGTGAATTCAAGGCTAGCCTGGTCTACCAAGTAAGTTCCACGACAGCCAGGACTGTTAGACAGAGAAACCCTGTCTCCAAAACCAAAAAACAAACAAACAAAAAACCAAAATAGCAAAAGCCAACTTTTTTTTTTTAACACATAAACACATGTGGCGTGAAAGTGAATGGCGAGCCTTTGGGCTCAGTGACTCAGGAGGCTAAGACAGAAAAGCCACTGGGAACCAGGAGTTCAAGTCTAGTTAAAAATCTACACATTAGAAGATGTAACTTATAAACAATTCAAATATATAATATTTATTACAGATGGATTACTAAGTACATGGAGACAAGATAAAACGACATTTGGCATCACATAAAAACATTTTTTTGTGTGTTTAGCTTTTGAGACAGGGTTTCTCTGTAACCACCCTGGCTGTCCTGGAACTCACTTTGTAGACCAGACTGGCCTCCAACTCACAGAGATCCGTCTGCCTCTGACTTCTAAGTTCGCGGATTAAAGGCATGTGCTACCACCACCCAACTCCTTAAAACATTCTTGCATCTTCAGAAAAGTTTTACCAATTTTGCTTGAAAACTGGTAAAGAAAAAAAATCTTGATTATTTTTTAAGCTTATTAATAAACGTGTGTGAACTTCATGCTGTGTATTCTGCTTTCACACATGACTGAAAGAGCCCATAGTAAAAGGTTAAATAAAGCAGTAAGCGATTACTGTTAACTTTAGGGGTGATGATATGGACAGATGTGCGTCTGGCTTGAATAGTCCTCTTGTAGAGGTACAGGCTGAAACACGAGAGTGAAATTTTATGGTCTTTTAGGATTTACTATAAAATAATGTAAGGAGAAGTGAATGGGAGCAAAGGTAATAAAAGTTTGGCTAAGAATTGAAAACTGTTCTGATTGGGGAGACGGTTCAGTCAATAAGGCGCCATGCCTCACAAACATGAGGATTTGAGATCCATCCCCAGAACCCACATGAAAAAAAAGCCAGCCACGGTGATGCTTGTTATCACAGCGCCAGGGTGGCTGAGCCCGACAGATCCCCAGCTGGAGAGTTCCGGCCAGTGAGAAACCCTGTCTCAGCAGACAGGGTGGGCAGCACCATGCAATAGCTCCTAAGTCACACTCTGGTTCCTCGTGCCTATGCACACATACACACGTACACACTCACGCACACACTCACGCACACACCTTTAGACACGTGTACTCGCTTACACACGCACACACATGAAAACAAAAAGGAACTAAAAGTTCCGTATAATGGCACGTGTGAATTCATTAAACCGTTTTCTGTACCTTTGTATGTGTTTGGTTTTTTTCATAAACGCAAAGCTGTTGTCGGCCCAGGTGCAATAGCCCATGGATGACATCATAGCTACTCAGATTGGCTTAAAGCCAGAAGCACGAGTCCAATAAATTAATGGATATTCTTAAAACAATACCCAATTTAAAAATTATCTAATATTTTGTTTTATGTGCATCGGTGATTTGCCCTCATGTGTCTATGTACTACATGTGTGCCCCTTCCTCAGTTTTTACATTTACTGTATGTGTGTGTGCGTGCACGGGCGCACATGCAAGTAGAGATCAAAGTACAACCTACAGGAGTCGGTTCCCTCCTTCCGACCATGTGGGTTCAAGAGATCACATTCAGGTCTTCCTTCATCCGCTGAGCCATCTCACCGGGACAGAACCCCCAATTTTAAGTAGATATATAATTAAAATAAATTCTACACACAAACCCAAGCATCTATATTCAGTTGTCTCACCTGTTTGAACTTGGAACCTGGGCTCTGGCACGAGGAAAGACGGCTTCACAGACAGGATTAAAGGAGTTTGGTCGCGCACAAGTTTGCTATTGATGAGGACATTAATGACTGATATTGCCGTGTAAATAAAAGGACCCGATGTTACCAGAAAAGTGAAGTCTGTGAACAGTTCATAGACCTAGAGAAATAGAAGAGTTTAAAAAGACAGTTCAAACGAAAAGAAAACTGTTGGAGAGAAAAAAATTATATATATATATCTATATATATATATCTCAGTATCATTATTATATATATATCTCAGTATCAGCAGCTTAACTGGGAGGATAAACGCTTCGAAGATAGGCAAGATTTTATTTTACACATTCCTTTTACCTTTGCCCAACTCTCACGAAAACAGCACAGAAGTACATGAGCGGCAAGAGAGGGCAGACACCCAGTAACATGGGCTGAAAGGTGAGTTGTGGAAAAACCAAGACTTCGGTCATGTCTACGCCACACAAAAAGAAGCAGTTGTTTCCTAGAGCCTCACTGTTTAAACAACACAGTGACGGCCACTTGAGCGGCTTTGAAGTTTATGGTGGCCACAGTAAAAGTAGAGGGATGGGGGAAGCTACATTCTGGGGTGTGGTCGATACCAGAGTTAGTGATACAGTCTGTGCCCTCTATCTGCTGCAGGTCTGAGCTCCAGCACGCAGCCCGCACCCACCGCGCATCTTATTAATTCAGGCCGGGCCCATTTCACAAGCTCCATGGCCAGCATGGCTCACGGTCACGGCTCTGGTTAGCCAGAGGGAGGACTAGTAGACCACGGCTTTCTGTAAGGCTCACATGGGTGGATGCAATGCAAAGTGTGGAAATCCATCTCAGTCACACTAAATACACAGAAAGACACAAATGGACTCGCTCTGAAACCTAACCTAAGCCCAACTCATTTCATTAAAGTAACAGGGACAGCAAGACTTGTAAGGTCGCCCCAAACTATGCTGCCGCTGGTCTGGGAGTGGAGAAGCTGAGGAAACTGTATGCCTGGAGAGGAGTGAGAGAGAGAATTCAAAGACAGAGCCCACGGCACTTACCCACACCCTACGAGACCCCACAAGCATGTCAGACCTGGCTCCCAGGCTCGGGGCTCACCTTCAGCTCCACCGCACGGTTGAAGTGAATCCTCAACACTTCTTTGATTGATGTAATGATATACTCCTGCACAGCTCGCCTGGCCAGCACTAGAAACGAGAGTCAACCAGCAGATGCATTTTAGTGCTACTAGGAAGCATGAAGCTGTCACTTCAGGAAGCCACAGCTGAGACGAAGCATGCTAGCGGCTTGTTTTGAAACATAAGGCCCAGACTAGGACAGAGTAGTAATGTCTACCTGAAGTATTACAGGAAACAGAAAAACCACGCACAGCGTCAGCCTGACACGCTGAGAAGGTTGGTGGGCAGGACGGGAGGGCAGCAACTGTGGCCCACTCAGGAGACAGGAGCTTCCACTTCCCTCTTCCTTCTCAACAAGTAATACAATTCCTCCAGCTATGCACCCAACGGCAAAGGTTGAGGCTTTAAAAGCTCTCAGAAGTAATATTTTTAAAATCATTAAGTTGCTAACAACTAGCGATACCGTCCTCCACAGGAGGAGGACGGCTGCACCGAGCGTTCCAAGCAGCTGCTGGGGAGTGCTAACCACTACTGATGGGAGCGAATTTCTTGATAATGTCCACCTAGTAACATTTTATACGGGAAATAAAGTAGTTTTCATTCCAAAGTCTATTTCTTTCTATTCGTTTTTCACACAAAAGTCCAATTTGAAAATCTGAACCAGGGCTGCAGAGCTGACTCTGTGGTTTGGAGTGCACACTCGAGGAGGACCCAGGCTGATCCCCAGCACCTACATCAGGCAGCTCACCATCTCCAAGGCTGCAGTTTAAATCCATCTCCTGGCCTCCACAGATACCTGCAAACACACACACCTCTAAAATAATAAATATAAATCTGTGACAGCAAGTATGCCTGTCTGCCAGTAAACCTTCCCTTCTATCCCATAATGCTTTTCCTTCCCCCTCCATTCTATATGCAGAATTATATCTAGTGTTGTTATTCTTATTTTGATTTTATTCATGTACATGTGTGTCTGTGGATTGCATATAGGTGCAGGTGATTGTGGAGAATGGTAGAAGCTGGTCAGATCCCCTGGAGTTAGAATTACAGGCAGTTGTGGGGCATCCGTCACGGGTGCTGGGGCTCAAACTCTGGTCCTCTGCAAGAGCAGCACACTCTTTTAACCACCAAGCCATCTCTCTAGTTCCGCTCTTCAATTGTTTTCATTATCCTATCTTAGATTATTAAAACTTGAGACAGAACCAACCCTCATTTGTTCATTATAAAAACAAATGCTTAAGCTGAGTTGTTTCTCTAGTAACTCAGAGGCTCGTGGTGAGAAGGCGGGGGGGGGGCGTCACCTGCTCAGTTCTTTAGTGCCCAAACCATTACAACAAATCCACGGCCCCTGTCTGCCTGCCTCGGCTGATCCCACCAACAGCCAGCTGGCATGGCCTGCCGGGCTCTGGGTGGCCAAGACTGTGCCATGAATGACACACTGGAAAACGAAATGAGTAGGAAGGGAAAGAGGGAGGGGGAGGGAAGCAGGAGGAGCCAAACTCAGGGAGAGTGAGGCAGAACTACTCAATAGAGACAGGAGGTACATGCTACAAGTAGCCCCGTGTAGCTAAGGGAACCACTCAGGATAGCTACGTGCTGCTCAAGGGCCCCACTGCCTGCCACACAATTACCACCTTCTCTGGCTAAACTGAGGAAGTCAGGACACCGCCACCTTAGACATGGGGGACCTGAGTCTGGGAAACAGGATCCATCCATGAATCATACACATTGTTTCCTGGTTCTCTACGGTTTCTCCAAGGCCAAGAGAAGAGAGGTCGGCTTCCCAGCATCTCCCTCCGAGCCATCAACACCCTTCACGTGATTCTGCAATACTATTATGGAGCTCCACAAAAAAAAAAAAAAAAAAAAAAAAAAAAAAAAAAAAAAAAAAANAAAAAAAAAAAAAAAAAAAAAAAAAAAAAAAAAAAAAAAAAAAAAAACACTTTGCCTAGACTCTCTCCCTAGCAGACAGCTGCTACCAATAAGAGAAAGGCTGATATTAAAAATTAAACAAGAATGTGTTTTGCTTCATGACATTTATGAATATGCTGGGCATTGAGTTCCAAAGCCAAAGAAGTTCCACAGCCCACTAAAATTTTTATTGTTCTTATGGTAGTTACTAATACTCAATGCTGTGCAGCTATTTCCTAGCTGTTATGTATTTTACACATTTCAATCCTTACAGTAACCTAAGGAGCCCACGGTCCTTGTTTGACACTCGGGAAAGTAGATCAAGAGACGAAGGGACTGGATGGCTAGCAGGAAGCCGGCCGAGGAAGAGGCCGGCTACCCGCAGGTCATGTGAGACCGACACCTACTCTCACAACACGATGGTGTCTCATAAACACTGCACACAAACACCTTAGAGAGGTCCCCTACCTCAGAGAGGTGACTGGAAGCAGGGCCTTACCAGTTGTGATCAAATAGGCATCGGGAACTGTAATATCACACACATATGGCGGCTTGGCTGTGGCCAGTGCTGGTGTACCAACTGTGGCTTCGAGCGTGGAGGTGGTCACAGGACCGAGGGAGGGCTGGGGAGGGGGCGCACTGTTCCCCGGAGGGTTCTGACTCATAGGCTCGCTGTTCAGAGCAGAGTCCACGGTATCACCAGGGGCAGTGCTGATGGGGGGCATGCTTGGTTCCGGGGAGGTACTTGGTTCTGGGGAGGTATTGGGTGGTAAATCTGTGGGTGTCGATGATGAGCCCATGACTGGCTTTGTGGGCAGAGGTGAAGGGTTGACTTCAGGAGCAAGCGATGGGGTGGTTGGCGGGTATACGCTAGAGGCTGACTCTGTGCTGGCCGGAATGGCACTGGAGGATATGGGTGAGACAGATGTGTGATGGTCTGTCATGCCCACACTGCCGTCAGAAGGCGTCAGCGTCGAGAATGGAGATGACTCGGTTAAAATGGGTGTCAAATGGAAACCAGCTGGCAGGGATGAGAGGTGAGTCCCAGCAGTTGAGATGCCAAGGGGGGTCTCGGAGCTGGAGGGCACCAGTGTGCTGACTGAGGATTCATGGGGAATGAGTGAAAATTCAGAGACAGAGGTAGCTTCAGAGAAAGTGGAGGCGAGATGAGCGTCGGACTGGACCAGGGAAACTCTCCACGCTTCGGCGAACTTGAGAGAATCAGAGGGGGAGCTTGAAAGCGGGGGCATTTCGGAGTGCCTAGGAAAGAGAGTGGCTGTCTTCACGAGGAGGTCTGAACTGGACCAAGGTTGAGATGGCTCTAGACTCGTGGGGTTAGAAACAAAAAGCTGAGGGGACTGTAAACTGATAAAGCTGGACAATGAAAATGTCTCGGCTGTGGTGGGGAAAGGCTGAGAAAGGAAGGTTGATGGGTCACTTGACGTCAAGGATGGAAAAGCAAGCACATCTGACCGTGAAGGGGCCGGAGTGCTGAAGCCCACGACTGGAGTTGAGGAAAAGCTGGATGTGGAATCCAAAAGACTTCCAGACTCGAGTTCCAAAAAGCTGGTCGGTTCGAGATCAGCAGAAACTTTAGACTCTACTGAGGAGACGGAACTGGAGGAGGTGCGAAGGCTTAGGTGTCCAGCTGGGAGGGATGGCGTGCTTTGAGCTGCTGTCAAAGAGAAAGATGAGTCAAAAGGGACGCTGGGGATGACTGAGGACGACAGATGGGTCACACTGGATGGCGTCGCTAGCTCGTTGGTGACGGAGAGGCCAAAAGCGGAATCAAGTGAGCTTGGTGTGGAGAGGGGGCCGTGGGAAGAGTACACCTGGGTGGTGACGATGCTGCTCATATCCACCTCAGGTGACATATCCACGCGGACTTCCCAGAACCCCACGGAGCTGGAAGGAAGGGGGACGGCAGGTCTGGAAGAGGAAAGAGTATCAAATTCTTGAAGATCTTCAAGTTCAGAGAGGTCTGTGCCCATGCTGCTCGACGGAGAGAGACGGCTCACTTCCACCGAGGCCGTAGACAGAGCCTCAAGCCCGTCCCCTGATCCCATGTCCTTCTCCGTGAGGCTCCTGGCCAGAGCTTGCTGAGGTGATGGGACAGCACAGGACACACACCAGGTATGTGGTCTCAAGGATGCCTCAGGGTTGAGGACATGGGGCTGGTCAGTAAAGCTGGGGACCGTGGAGCTGCGCGGTGGTTCTGAGGTTTCCCCGGCCCTGCTAGAGAGGAAGGGGTTATCCGAAATGCCGGCTGACTGGGTAGCAAGAGACACAGATGACAGCGGGGCTGAGAATAACGCAGAAGGTGGGCCGATAAAAACAGGGTCTGTAGCTGACATGGTTGCACTGGGGAGTGTTCTTAGAGAGATGGCTTCCTCTAGATGTTTATTCCAAGCAGTGGTCCCATTAGGGTATCTGTCTGTGCTTGTGGCCAGGACACCCAGAAGAGGCTGTGTCGCCTCCCACAGGGGAACAGATGGCTGCTGAGTCACGCCACCGCCGAACGGCTGAGACACTGAAATCCAGGAGCTGGAAAGGAGGTCTTCTGCGCCCTCGGTTATGGAAGCTACAATCTCTGGCAAAGCCTTGCTCGATAACTGGCTGTGAACTTCCGTAGGATGAAGCACCAAACTCCTGCTAGGAGTTGGAATGATGCCCTCAGATGTGAGAAAAGCTGACCAGGAAGAGCTGAAATCACTGGCGGACTCAATGTGCGCAGTTGCCCGTTGCACTGTGTTCTGACATGCGGATAGCATTTCATCCTGCAAAGAAATCCTGGGTAGCGATGGAGTCATCCCAGGCTCTGGCATTTCCCGGGGTGGCTCCAGTGGGCTCGGTGTGACAGACTGCGTTGGGGAAAGCACCCGTGAAGAGGTCCAGGGATCATCTGGCAGAAAGTTATCCATCTCATCATCATCAACCGCCACCTCGTTACTCGGCACGAATCCATAATGTGCCCCAAAGACGTTGTGCTCTGTTGTACTTTGAGTCTGATGTCTGTGATTTAAAAAGGCTGTATCAAAAGTGGGAGCAGATGCAGAGGGTAGGGCAAGGGCAGGGATGCTTGGCTGGGACCCTGGAGTCTCTGGTAAGGCCACATGTGCAGCGCTGGGCATGATGCTTGTCTCCGGCAGGAGCTCCTCGAGACTTAAAGAAGGGTTGTGCTGTTCCAGGGAGAGCTCATCTAGCAAGAGAAGCAAAGTTGAGTTAGCAGCCATTCAAAGAGTCAGAGTGTGAACACCTCACTTCGGATGTAAAGAACCACTCATCCAGAAAATACCCATTCACTAGGGCTGGAGAGGTGGCTTGGTGGTTAAGAGCACTGGCTGCTCTTGCATTCTGTTTCCAGCATATGTGGCAACTGACAACCTTCTGTAACCCCAGCTCCTGGAGATCCAGCACCCTCTTCTCGTCTCTGCAGATACCAGACACGTAAAATAATGCAAAGAAAAATTCATACACATAAAATAAAAATACATATAAAAATATCCATTCATTATTAATAGCCACAATTTGTAGAAATTCTAGTTGGAAGCTAGACAGTGCCAAAAGCGGTACTGCGGTAATCTACACAGAGTCACGCACCGGAGCACTTCCTTCACTTAAGTCTGCATGTGTGGACACACACCCACGAACCTGAGCACTTCCTTAAGTCTGCAAGTGTGGCCACACACCCACGAACCTGAGCACTTCCTTCACTTAAGTCTGCATGTGTGGATACACACCCATGCACCTGAGCACTTCCTTAAGTCTGCATGTGTGGACACACACCCACGCACCTGAGCACTTCCTTAAGTCTGCATGTGTGGACACACACCCACGCACCTTACTTCATACAATCATATGCACAAAGCCATCTGCCCCAAACGTGTGTGAAATGGTGCAGATAATCTTTAATCCATTCTATTTTATGAGTGGCATCTTAGTAAGGGGGGAAATGTGGATACACACGTGCAGGCAAGAGAGCATGCAAACATGAGAGTGCATCAGGGTGGTGTAGCCCAAGATCAGAAATTGCCTGCCAATCATCGGGAGCCGGGAGTAGATTCTTATTCACAGCCTTCAGAGACAATCAACTGTGCCATCTGAGAAGCTGACCTTGGATTTCCACACTCCAGAAAGGAGATAGCAAATTTCTATCCTTTACGCCCCAAAGGAAACTGTCTACCGCAACTCGGACTCTTTGTAGCAATCATGTAAAACATGTCCCCAGGTTTAGAACCTACATCATTTCTATGGTCCTAGTAAACTGCTTAGGACAGAGAAGACAGGCCAGGTCTTCACTGTCTGTCAGATAGTAACATCCGTTTTCCTTGGGCTAGGCATGGGGATCACACGCATGTCACCCTGGTCACTAGGGCGCCTGTGGCAAGGGGATCACTTGAACTAATCAATTTGAAAGCAGCCTAGCAACATAGTGAGATCATCTTTTGTTTGTTTGTTTGTTTGTTTGTTTTTCGAGACAGGATTTCTCTGTGAAACAGTCCTAGCTGTCCTGTAACTAGCTCTTGTAGATCAGGCTGGCCTCAAACTCAGAGATCCACCGGCCTCTGCCTCCTGAGTGCTGGGATTAAAGGTGTGCACCACCTACTGCCCAGCATGAGACCGTTTCTTAAAAGGAAAACACACAAAAAATGTGGTCAGAAAAGCACACTGTTACACCACATAGCAAACACTTCCCTCAGCTACAGATCAAATAAATGTGAGCACAAAAATAAAAATTATGAAACACACAGGGAAATAAAGTGCCATTAAAAGGCCGAGAGGGAAGCCAGGCATGGGAGCCCACACCTTCAACACCAGTGGCCAGGAGGCAGAGCCAGGATAGATCTCTGTGTTCAAGGACAGCCTGCTCTACATGGTAACTTCCAGGACACCCAGACCTACATAGTAAGATCCTGCCTCAAAAATCAGACAAACAAATAAAAAAGACTGAGAAAACACCCAAAGACAAGGAAAATCACAAGCAGAGCCAGAAAAGAAAGATGATTGGCAGTAAAAGATCAGACAGCCACTTCGCAGAAGCCAGACTACAGTGGAACAGAACCTTCAAAGTCAGACTGGGAGAAAATATCTGGTGCTTTAGATCTGCATAACCACTAAACCTCTGTATCAAAAAGACACACAAGGGGATGGAGGGAACGTGCAGGGGCCGATATGACAACCTGAGTTCCATTCCCAGCATCCATGTGAAAAGCCAGGTATGGCGGCACACACTTGCAATGCCTACTCTGGAGAGCAGAGGCAGGAGGATCCCTGGATCCCACTGGCAAACAGACTAACTTAAGTTTCGGGCTAGTGAGAGACCCCGTCTCAGAAAGTGAGGTTGGGCCAGCGAGACAGCTCAGCAGATAAGGGTGCTTGCCTTGAAAGTCTGGTACCCTAAATTTGATCCCTAGGACCCACATAGAGGTGGGAGGAAAGATTCGACCCCACATAGATGTCCTCTGACTCCCACACGTGTGCTGTAAAACAGGCATGCACACATGTGTCATAAACACACGCTAATAATAGCAATCATCTATTTCTTTTAAGTAAATCTCTCTCTTTTTGTGGGGGGGAGTAGATGGCTTCTGAGGGACAGTACCTGAGGTCATCCTCTGGCCTCCACAGACACACACGCACACACCTGCACACACACAAGAAAATACATAAATAGTAACGAGGGGTGGTTGTACCAATTAAAGAACCTAGGTAAAGAGCCCCGGAACAAGAATATCCTTCAGGAAGGAACATTATTATCCCTGGCAAACAAGGGGTGGCGGTGCACATTCACAATAACGCAGCCACGTAACCAGGGCAAACAAGGGGCAGCCTCGTAACCAGGGCAAACTAGGGGTGACGGTGCACGTTCACAATAACACAGCCACGTAACCAGGGCAAACAGGGGGTGGCGGTGCACATTCACAATAACGCAGCCACGTAACCAGGGCAAACAAGGGGCAGCCGCGTAACCAGGGCAAACAAGGGGCAGCCGCGTAACCAGGGCAAACAGGGGGTGGCAGTGCATGTTCACAATAATGCAGCCGCGTAGCCAGTACAAATGGAGGAGTTGGAGGAAGACTTTTTAAAAAGCATACATTTAAAAGATTATAAAATTCTAACTGTGTTCACACACATTTGAAAGCTTGCCTAAGAATAAAGAATGTATATGTCTGTTTTAAACTCTGCTATGAGGGCAGGAGAGATGGCTCTGAGGTTAGGAGAGCTGGCTGCTCTTCCAGAGGACCTGGGTTTGTCCCCAGCACCCACACGGCGGCTCCCAACTATCTGTAACTCGAGTTCCAGCGAATCTGGCTCCTCTTCTGACCTCCAAAGATTCCTGCACACATGTGGTACAAAGACATACAAACCAGACACGTACACATAATAGTATTTTTTAAAATAATAACAATATTCTGCTATAATGTTTAAAATTTAAGAGCCAAACAGAGGACAAGATTCCTTCTAAAATGAGTCAGAAACACACCTTCCTGTGAACCAGAAGGATGCAAGAGTTAAAATACAAAGAGCCTTGTTCAGTGGCTCGTTTATGACCCCAAAGATCTGCCACAAATTAAAATTAAAGAGCAGGGATGAGGAAAGGCAAAATGGTCAAAAAGATTAAAAATAAACCTCAAAGTCCCCAACTGAAAAAGAGCAGGCACAAAAAAAAACCTCTGCACTGAGGACTGGAAGGTGCCAACCCAGGAGGTCTATTCTCTCTGCCAAGCCCTGGGGGAGAGTCACCGGCTCCGATGAGGCGGCAGCTGCAAAGCCATGGGGAATTACCTCTAGTTAATTCAGGAAGAGGTTAGAAATCCCAGGTGAGCCTCTGTCTCCACAGAAGAGGCATCAGGGACTCTCATTTCAAGCCCTAGAGATCAGTTTTCAGGCTGTAAAGCTTTAGATCCCCCAAAAGTGAAAGGGTTTTTCTCTCTGATGACAGAGAAAGGAAAAGGGGCTGGGGAAAGGTGCTGCTTCTCAGGCAGTGCCGTGGGCGTGTAAGCAATGTGAGCGTGCAAATGACGCAGGGGTCTTGTGGAAAGAGCAAACGCCGCCAGCAACTGGCAGTACCTGCTTCTCTCCCCACTGACCCGGGGGCCAGTGTGGAGGCACTTTCTCCGCACGTCATCTTCACTGGGTGCCCACTTGGCCGTGCTGGCTCTTCCAGGCCAGAAACTGCCATATGCCCTCTCCTCCACGCCAAGTCTGTTCACAATGATTAAAAATTAGTGACAGAGACACCCAGCTGTCTGCCCGAGACTCACACAGACAAAACAATGTGGCATTCTGAGATACGTTTTGAAGTCATTTTATGCCATTTCAAAGTCTTTTCTAACTGTAGCAGAACATCGAGGAATCATGGACTCCTCGTGCCAACTGGATCCCTTTAAGACCTCAGCCAGTCCCCACCTGTCACAATGCGGCTTACGGGGTTTATGTTACCGTGCTGAAAACACCCCCACCTACAGGGGTACGTGTTTGGGGGGCTAGAAAGGCAGTTTTGTAGTCTTCACACCTCACCGTGTTTTACCAGTCCATTTTACCAAAACTGTTGATAAGAAAAGCTGAAAACATGTCGGACTGTGTTGTTGTGTTAAAACTGAGCCGAAAGTACAGGACAGATCTGGCTACTAGAGAGGCGCCTGTCTTAGACTGAGTCCCACTGCCGAACTATGGACACCTCCAGGCCACAGGCCTGAGTGCTGACAAAAAAAGACATACTCTCTGAGTTGGCCTGGGTACTACAGGGTCACCCATCTCTAACGAGCTTTAATCCAAATGGAACTATTATTCTTGCTGCTTTGCTAAACCGTGCAGTTTTCAAAACACATGACTCATCTCAACTCGCTGAGGACATTCAATCTACAAAACAAAACAAGCCCCCATTGACGCCTAAGACTTAAAACACAAAAGCAGTCAGATCAACTGTTGAGCAACTTGGCAAATCTTCACCGTTTTCCTCCTAGTTCTCAGGACGTCCTGAGGAAGGTTTCCAGGGCCACCCCCCTCCTTTCATCTTTTCCTTCATTTACAAAGCAGCACCTTCCTTGTCTTTCCCATTGCCAGTGTGAACCAGCACCCTCTGCCCAGAGTATACAGTGTGTACCAGCACCCTCCGCCCAGGGTACCTAGTGTGTACTGGCACCCTCCGCAAGGGTACCCAGTGTGTACCAGCACCCTCTGCCCGGGGTACCCACC